TTGAGGATGTCAGCCTTGGTGCTGTGATCCTCAAATCCAAATTCCAGACGCTGCTCGTAGGTGTACTGCACCGCCCCGATCCGCGTGTCTGTTTCTGAAATCTCAAACTCTTTGCTGATGTTGGCGACGAACTGGAGGACTGTGCGGAAGTTGCCCGTCCCCACGCTGCTGGAGCCGTCGATGACGAAGCCGATGTCAGCAGAGTTCCAGCAGGTCTTGCTACAGGCCAGGCGGTCCGTGTCACAGATTCGCTTCAGCAGGGGCTGCACTGTCTTGTGGAGGCTGAACCAGCTCTGCACGTTGAGCGAGTAGAAGCCGTTTGTTCTGCACACGGCCTGCAAGACAGAGGGCTGGGGTACTCGCCCGCTCGGGTGTCGAATTCTCCAGGCGGTCACTGTGACGCCAACCGCCAGGACAGGTGAAGAAAGAAGCAGACAGACTCTTGTTTTCTGTCCTCGTCTTCCTACAGCTCTTTTTCTACCTTGGTCCACCCAGTTAGATGCCCGCTGGGTCACCCCTGGACTCACTCTTACTCCCTCGGCTGGGTCTCTGCTTTAGGGGAAACAGATCCTCAGAGAGAGGTGAATTACTGGTTTCAGCCACGTGGTCATGCCTCTCTGGGCCCCTAGGTCTGTTTGTACTGGGAGCCGGCCATGAGATTGGCCCCAAGGGCACCAACATCTGAGAGGATTAAAGAGAGCTTCTCTTCTGCTCAGGAGAACAAGACACATGAGAAGTAGCTACAGGAGTGTTTCCAGAGCAGCCCTGAGCCCCGCAACAAGGGCTCCCACACATAAGTCGGGAGTCACACTAGATGTTCTTGGAGAGCTTCTCTCGTGAATCTAGTCCTTCATGAAGGACTAGACAGAGGGCCAGCTGTGAAGGGACATCTGAGTCCCCAAGACTGGAGCACAGATCTCTCTGCCTTCAAAGCCCCAGCTCTGTCCTCCAGACATCCCTGCCTCCAGACAAATGAATATTTATTGACTTATGCCCAAGTATGTTCCAGAAAAACTTAAGGCAGCTGCAAATAAACATGGAGCAAACTAGCCTCTGTGCTCTCAGAAGGGACCAGGCTTGTGTTCCTGAAGTGAAGCATGTCTCCTTGTCTCTCTGGGGGGTCACAGGGAGAGTCACAGACCTGGTGACTATACATGAAGCTGTAGAACTGACAATTTATTTTAAAACAAGAAATGACTTGAAACTGTCCTAGGAAATATTCTTAGGGTTGCAAAACCCTAAGAGGGGTTTATTAATCTTTCCATGGACTTGATATTATTTGAGATGAGTGTCCTGGCTGAGCTGAGCTCTTGGGGAGTCCCACCAGGCATCGGCTGAGGTCATGGAGGGAGAGGGCAGTGGTGCTAGGTGTGGGCAGGAGACACTGGGCGTGTCAGGACCACACTCCAGAGGCCTCGAGAGTAATGGGGGACCAGGAAGGGTTTGAAGCAGGGACCCCATAGGACTGGAAGAGCTCAGCATCAGTGTGAGTGGGCTTCACTGTGAAATCTACACCAAACTGGGGAGCCCCGAGAGGGAGACACACCAGAGTTAGAGTGCTAGGTTGCCCTCGGGAGGTGGCACTGGGAGCTGATGAGGTGTCCCGGGATGACTCTGGGTGACTCCAGGCTCCAGACTTACTAGCCCCTCCCTGGAGGCTTCCCTGCCTCCAAGTAAGCTCTATGCCCCTTTGAAGGCACAAGAACAGTCTTGAGGGCTGTCACAGCTGTGCAGAGCGAGTGGACGCCCACACCGGGCGGGTCCCTGGGGCACTTCCGTACCTTATTTGAGAAGTTGGGCTCTGTCACATACTGCTTCTCATTCTCAGTGGCACCTTCAACGGTGATGAAGAAAATGTTGATTCCTGACTCTCTTGCAAACCTCGAAGCCTCCTCCACCTTGTCCGTGGGCCAGCCATCCACAATCACCACGGCCACGTTGGGTGCAGCGCCTCTGTTCCCATTGGCTTTGGAAAAGAAGTTCTTGGTCACGTAGGAGATGGCCCGGCCTGGAAGAAACAGAGAGCTCATGCTTGCAGAGACTGTGATCACATGGATTAGAAATATAGGCAAGATCCCAGCGGCATCCAGAGGGCCAGAAAAACCCTCTCATGCCCTCCCTTTGTGTGTTTGCTTCTCTTTTTCCTTTTTTTTTTTTTTTTAAAACCACATTAACTGTTGTGAGGCATACAGTTCAGTGGTCTGACGCACACTTCCAATGTTGTACAACCATCTCCACCATTCGTTTCCTTCCCCCATTTCACATCAGGCCTTTCATTTCTAATTCTCTATTATTTAAAAAAAGTCTTAGGGACCAGCAAACAGATGAGAAAGACTTTCATGGCAATAAGAGGGTCCCTTCGTTGCCTGGGCCCTGGAAGTGCACAAAGCCCTTTCCGGGAGTATGGGGTAGGAGGCACTGGCTGGAGGGACAGGAGCCTCTTCTTGGCCTCCTGCCACTGGAGTTTGACCAGCCCGGTGCTCCGAAAACTGCGGGGTGTGGGAGTCTGAAGTCCAAGTCAGTGGTGTCTTCTGTCCAGTTCCATGTGAGGGGCACGGGTCTGGCTGGCCAGGGAAGTGTAGTGCTCACTGAGAACTGAGGGACTGTGTTCCAGCCTTGGCTGTGTGGACCCAGGCAGGTCACTCCAGATTTCCAGTTCAGCAGAAAGCCACAGTTGGGAGGTGTAAGGGAGCCACCAACATGGCTTTCCAAAGCACTTGCTTCCCGCCATCTAGGACCTCAGCAATTTTTCATCAAGGAGGGGGGACAACTGTCCCAGTTTACTGGGTCTCTCCTAGGTTAAGTGCTGAAACCCCATATGCTCCTGGGTAAATTAGGAGGACCAGGTCACTGTAGAGTTAGCATAATTTCATATAAAAGCAGGGCTCTTAACCCGGACTCTCTGGACCCTTGTGGGGCATCGGGGGTGGGGGGTATATCCACAAAGCCCCTGAAATTATGTGTAGCAGTTTGTATGTGTAATTATTTATTTAGGCTGAAGGGAGGCTTTCAGGAGATTCTCAAAGGGGTCCTCAATCTAAAATCAATCTAAAGTCCTAAGACTTTAGGACTAATGTCATTACACTCAATGGTTTTTGGTTTTGGCCAGGATCCTGGCTCCGAGGGCTAGAGTAATCTTAACCTATTAACTGAGAGGATCAAACAGTTACATATGCAGAAGCTGGAGAAATGTCTTGGAGACCCCACATGATCTGGCTGCACCGAGCACAGCTGCTATAGAGAAACAGCTGCTGAGAACTGCCCTCATAGCCAAGGGATAATGTCCCTGAAGGCGCAAGGCCCCCAGCAGTCCCCTCCGGCTGAATGTTAGATGCCTGTGAACAGAGCACACCCCTAGCCTCACCCACACTTAGATCTGGAAGTCGCAGTCCATTAGTGCTCAACCCACATCCCATCCCATCCCACCTTCCAGCATGTCTTGAAAGCTGAGAACAGAAATCTGGGAACCACATTGTTGAGACTCCCTTGCAGCTACAGCCTTGGAGTTGTGCTAATTTAATGAATCGATGTGCAATGCAATGAGATTTAGAAGATGGAAGCAAGGCAGAGACTCTGCTATTTCTGCTCCTGAGCCTCGGAGGGTTCTTGACCTCTCTGGGCGGTGCTGGAGGAACCCATGTCTAGTCTCTAGCTTTGTCGCTATGGAGGTGGGAGGGTACAGAACATGCATTTTGTGGGTGTGAATGGAGCAGGCAAGGTCTCGTTTGGGGGATGACTGCTGTAGCAGAAGCCTGCAGACTGTGGTGGCTTCCTGGCTGAGTCAGATTCCTGAAGAGGCTGTGCTGGCGGAATTGATAATGTGATTTCCTGATCTTGGAAGAGACAGCAGCTCCTTGGAGGTCCGTCTCCTGCAGGAAGCCGTCAGAAGTCATCTCAAAGTTCAGCCTCGAGCTCATTCCTCAGCTCTTTTGATTATTCTCAAAACCATTTAGAACCTAGGAATAAATCCTTTCCTGCTTCAACCAGCTAAAATGGATCCCATTCTCCAAATGCAAACCCTGATCAGGACAGGGCAGAGACAGAATGTGTTATTCCCTGAAAAAGGTATATGATTTTAAGACACTAATCCCATCAAGGATATAGGGTGTCTTCTGAAGTTTCTGTTTTATTCCATGATACATTACTGGAATGTCACTGATCTAAGTATTCAATTGAAAACGAATGGGAAATCAACTCTATCATGTTTGCAACGAGGTGGTATTGATCTAGGGTCCCGGAGAGCAGTGACTTGGCCGGTGTTTGGTTAGCACTTTTCATAGCTCTTCATTTGCCAGATACTACTATATTGGTCTACACTGCAGTGGGGAGGGAAATAATCAGATTTATAGTAACTTCAAAGATGTTCCTTTGAAGACAGTTCTGTGTGCATTACATGCCAAGCCACCGCAGCTCACTTCTCCATTTCATTGCATGTTGATGATTCAAAGAGGTTCCCTGAGAAGTAGACAGTCCTCCCAGTGCCCCCAAAGCCAGACTACCATTTATGAATTTGTACGTTGGCATAGGCTCACTGGCAAAATGGTTTCTGGACCTGCCCCACTGGGGGCTAGACTTGGACTTCTGGTAAACCTGCCATCCCACCTCCTAGCCACCAAGGCTGACATCTCAGGAGACTCAGCTTGAAAGGAAGAACCTGTCTCTCTTTGTACAGTTATCACTTTAACAGGAACTATTGGAAGAAGATCCCCAAGGAGCGCTGTGGAGCTTTCTGAATGGAATTGGCTATAATATTTAATGTTACGTAGTTGACAACTTCTAAGTTGATGACTCATCAGCCAATCAGGAAACAGTTATAATAGCTGTCCTGCTTGTCCCAAAGAAAGCTGCCAAGCCAAGATACCAGGCATGCTGGAACTCTCCCGCATGTGTGTGATATTGATTCCTGCCCCTAAATTCATGATGATACTTTAGAAAAAAAATACAGGTATTAGGAATCATTTCTTGATGGATTGTTACTATTCTTTCCTCCTCCTGTATAGGATGTTAGGAGACAAGCACACAGAGGGAACACTGTGGAAGCAAACAGACTGATCTGAATTCAGATTGCATACCTGCATTAGAAAGCCCTCCTCGCTGGGTGATTTTCTCTATGGCGGTCTTCAGATCCCGGGAATTCATGTGAGTCCTGAGGTTAAACTGGGCAGCAGGGTTGTCTCTTTAAGAGTGAGAAGGAGAAATAAAAGTTAGCTGGAAAGTTACTATCTTTGGAGGAAAACAGAAATCAGATTTGATTCTTTTGTATGCAAATAGAAGGGAAGCTGCTTCAAAGCCCTTAAGCTGTGTTTTATAAAATGTCCCAACATGGACAGAAGTAATGGTGAGATGGGAGGGCTGGGGTCCTTCTCAGTGTGTATAGAGAAAAGTGGTCTGTCCTAGGACTCGGGGTTCTAGTTTTGATTGTGCTGCTTCCTCACTGTGTGGCCTTGGGCAGTCACTTAATTTCTCTGGGCTTCAGTTTCCTCATCTAGGTAAAAGCAAAGATCACAACACTCATATCGCTAAAGAACAGGATGATTGCCCAGTGGGATTTTGCAAATGTCAGTGTCTCCCCAGGCTGTCCCAGACCCTCCTCTCCAGAGAGGAAATTCCCAGCTGAGAGCTACTCCCTGGTTTAACCCTACGCTGGAATTTTGTCTTAACTGTGACATTTAGGAGAAGACATTCCTTTATTTTTCATTTTATTGTTCCTGTGACTGGGTGAGAATATTCAAATCTTACCTAAAATGTTAACATCTATTAACCAAAAGTTCAGTGGGAGAGGAGGTGGAGTAAATTAAGTAGAGAAACAGAATGAGAATCCTTCTCTAGAGAAGAGTGTCTGAGGGTAAGCCAGGGGGATAGGCCTGGGAGCAGCTGAGCAGGGGCTGTGGATGTGCTTTATGACCAGGTGGGAGGGGGGCCAGGAGGGAGGGGGGGCTTGGTCAGTGGGGACGCACAGTAAAAACACATTTCACAAAGCACTGACATTTAGCCATGGACGAGGCTTCAAGTGAGTGTGATCTCTAGGGTCTCACGGGACCCCACACTCCAGAAGAGCGTGCACGCTGTTCCCTGCTCTGATGCTGCCATCTTGAAATCTGTAATGTTTGAAAATAGGGCTCTGCACATTACGTAGCAGGTCATACCTGCGGGTGACTAAGCCTTCAAGGGGAGGGAGAAGCCTCTTTCTAAAAAGTAGACTCCACACCCTGTGTGGAGTCCAATGTGGGGCTTGACCTCACCACGCTGAGATCAAGACCTGAGCTGAGATTCAGGGTGGGCTATGTCACCAACTGAGCCACCCAAGTGTCCCCACCCCCACATTTCTTTTCTTTTCTTTCTTTCTTTCTTTCCTTCCTTCCTTCTTCTTCTTTCTTCCTTCTTCTTCCTCCTCCTTCTTTCTTCCTTTCTCCTCCCCCTCCCCCCCCCTCCTCCTCCTTCTTCTTCTTCTTCTTCTTCTTCTTCTTCTTTGTGAGGGAAAAGACTTTTAAAAGCAGCCTTTCCGGGGCACCTGGGTGGCTCAGTGGGTTAAAGCCTCTGCCTTCGGCTCAGGTCATGATCCAGGGATCCTGGGATCGAGCCCTGCATCGGGCTCTCTGCTCAGCGGGGAGCCTGCTTCCTCCTCTCTCTCTTTGCCTGACTCTCTGCCTACTTGTGATCTCTGTCTGTCAAATGAATAAATAAAATCTTAAAAAAAAAAAAAAAGCAGCCTTTCCACAAACACCAGGAGTAGGTCTTGGGAGAAGCACCTTTAGGCGGTTTAGGTGGCAAACCCGAGGGGACCTGCATTGGATTCTTAGCAAGTCCTTTGGGGAACCTGGCCATGTGGTCACCAGGAAGCCAGTTCCCTAGGACTGAGAAGAGACATCTTCTGCCTCTCTCCCCACTTCCTCCCCTGCTCCATCCCTACTTTCCGACTTTTCCGGCTATCTCCAGGTGATCTCTATGGGAGAAGAACTCCTGGAAGCTGGAAGTGTGACCCTCTGTCCTCCACTTTATTAGTAAATATGAGGGACAAAGGCTGCGTCTTGGACAAAACCAAAGTGAAATGCCCAGCAGGCATGCTTATCTCTGTAAGAGGGGACTGGAACCTGAGAGGACTGGCTCCCTTCGGGGAAGACAAGGGAAGTTTAAAAGAAGCTCAGGGAGATGGGTATTGGGGCCAAACCCAACCAGATGAAAACTAAGGATTCAACAAAAACAAAACAATGACAAAGCCAACTGCCGAATGGGGAAACGTGGGTGTGTTAGCTGAGCCTGACCTTCCCCTCAGTCTGTGAGCAGGGTGAAGCCTCGTGAACAGGGGTCTCAGTAACACAACCCATGTTCAGGTCACAGGGAAGAGAAATCACAGAGAAGGAGCTCTATTGCTTTCACACTTCATTTTTCTTTCCCTCTAGGCTCAAGGGCTTTCAGGTTCATATTATTTACAAATCAATATCAGCGAATGCTGAACTTGGCCCCTAGCCATCAAGGCTCAGAACCTGGAGTCCATCTTTGCTCATCCTGGGGTCTGTGGGTCCTCTCAGTAAAGTCCTATAGGTCCCTCCGTCCACCATCACTTGCTTTTATCCTTCCTCCGAATGTCTGCAGTGACCCTCTGAGTTCAGGCACCCTACTCCTTGCTGTTTCTATTATAAGAGTCTCTATTTGGTCTCTGCAAAGCCAACTGTATGCATATCTTCTAAAACAACAACAACAACAACTCTTCCTTGGCTCAAAAATCATCAGAGGCTCCCATTCTTTAAAAAAGTCCCATCCATAATTTAATTCCAACCCATCATGTTCATATGGTGCTGTCTCAGTCTCTCTCTCCAACCCCCTCCCAATTCTCTCAGGATAGCCTATATTCTAGGCAGAAAGAGCTGCTATCTCCTGGTTTTCTAGCTTTGTGTCCTTGCTCATCAATCCCCTCACATCTGGAAGACCCCAAGTGTGCCCACCCTCCAGCTCCAGCTCCCTGTCGCCTGCCCTTCCCCCGATGAAAGCCTCCGCACCTGACTCTGCTTCTCTAACCCACAACACCTTACACAGTGCATAGCACCTGCAGGCTCTCAGTGAACAGTATTGAAGGAACACACATTTCTTCTTTCTTCTTCTGTGCATCTCTGCCTCTAATGCTGGCATTGCCCAGGGTGTATCTCCCTCATGCCTCCCTCTTCAGTGTGTGCACTTCCATGGGAGAGCTCAGTGACTTTAGTCTCCTGGGCTTCAGAGACGCTCACATCGCCAACAGCTGTCCAGCGCACACTGGCGGGTCCTCGCTCTTGAACCCCAGATAGACGTAAAATGACTCCCATCCATCTCCAACCGGAATGCACTGGGTGGTGCCTGGAGGTGGTCCACAACCACCTCAGGTTTGATATTTCCAATACTGAAGTTGTATCTTCCAGATTGACTCCATCCAACAACCCATATTCCCTTCTGCATTCCCTCCTCACCCTGACTCACTGTCATCTCAGCAGAATGCATCCTCTGGTTGCCTTCTGAGACCTTCTTCATCACATGCCATGTCCTGTCAGACCAGCCTCTTAAATATCTCTCATCTCTCTTGTATCCTTTCCAGCCTCACGTTTGGACTTCCATCTTTACCTTCTTGAGCTATTGCTATAGCTTCCTACATGGTCTTCCCAGAGCAGCCTGTGCAGGGGACCGTTTATTCAATAAGCTGTCATGCTGATCAGAGGCAAATTAACCTGGGAGCTAATAATACCTCTTCCAAGGGGCCTAATTTTGTATTTGTAATTTTGTGCCCTTTTTCTTAAAGGGACCCTTGAAGTACATAAGCTTCAGAGTAGCCAAAGTCTTGATCCTCCCTTGGTGACCAAGGAATATGAACTTTTGGGGGCCTAAAAAATAAAGTATGAGTCGAGCCAAAACAAACAAAATATTATTGGCTGTAAAATGAAAAATTGCAAAATTGATATTTTTTATTATAAGTATGTATTGTTAATAGTTATTGATATTGTTAATAGTAAGTATGTAATTGTCTACTAAACATAACACAATATCCACTTCATTCATTATAAAATATTACCTCATAAAACTTTATACATTTGAAAATGATCTGTGGGCTAGATTTTCTTCCTTGCAAGATTCCCTGAGTCTGTCTGATGATTGTGAAGAAATCATAGCTAATCATAAGGGGTTGTTCATACACAAATAACTTAAAAAACAAAAATATAATTTTTTTCCAAAAGTTTTTCCAGAAAAAAATGCATTTAAACGTCGAACTTAGTCACTTAGTCACATCTGTGGCATTCTCTGGAATGCTGCTCAGAAGGCTGTCTTAATACTGATCACTTTGCAGAGCAATCGATTACCTGTCTCTTTCCTGTACTGCATATACAGCCCAGTCTCCTGATTTGCAGTAGTTACATTCTACAAAGTTGCTGCAAACATCAAATTAGCAAATACTGAGCCACTGCTCCTAGGGGAAGTACTAGCTTAGGTTCCTGTGGGCCTCCAGTCATGACATTTTCATCAGTATGTCAATATATAAACTTGTTTTATGTACATTTTTGTTGGAAGACACCTAATTTAATGTATATTTCTTACAAATAATCACATGCAATATTTCTGTTTAATAACACACCAGCTGAGAACAGTTTAACAGCTTTATGACCCTAGGTAATGTCACTAAAAATTTCTTCGGCTCTTAGCCTCACAATGCCATCCACTGCGTTTTGTTTTATTTTTTTCACATCAGTTGTCACTTCATGAATTCATAAGTTCACCTACTTTTTCGTAGCTTCATCAGGCATTCTAGTCACTTTCCAGAGCAGAATCACATACAGATCAGTGATTTTCCTTTCCTTTTCAGAAAGCACCGAATCATTGGTTCATTGACATTGAACTCATGCCTGAAGAAAACTTACTGAGTAGGGGCCGTTTCTCCATAAGCACCTCCTAGCCTTCTTGTGCTTGTAAGACTTGAAAGCATTCCAGCAGTATACTTGGGGGCCATTTAAAATAGTGAAATCATCAATGGAAAGCACAAAAATAGGAAAAACGTGGCGCTAAATAGATTTCAATGAAGAGACTTGTTCACCTTAGGGCTGCTGAAGCAGGAAGGCAGAGCATTGCCCTGTTCGACCTTGGCTGGGACCGTGGGTCAAGGAGCTCAAATCCCATCCCCTTGCCGTGCTAGTCTGCAGATGGCTCTACATGTGCCATGAGAATTTGCTTGCAAATATGGAAGCCACAAGTCATGAAGATCGACTGTTACCTATTTGAGAACAGGCTCCCTGTCTTAGTGTTTCCTATCCCTTGTATTTAGCATACAGGGGATTAAATAGGTACTTATGGGATAAATAAATGGAGAAAGCTCAAATGTCCTCTCCTTTCTTGGATCACCCTTCCTGGAGTTGAACTCTCTGCTTCTCAGCTCCACACTGATCTTTGTCTTCCTTTATTACATCACAGAGATGGATGAATCCATCTACCGAGGCAGACAGATGAGCTATTCATATACCCAATGAATAGATGCTTTTAATTTTATTTAATGTTATTTCTTTTAAAAATATTGCCTCCCTTACTAGATGGTGAAGTCCTAAAGAACACAATCTCTATCACATTTGTTGATTTATTTTTATTGGACTGAAAATTTGGATCAGGGGATCTCTGAAATTCTCCTGTTGCTAAAATTATTAGGGAGGGGCAAAGCTACTGAGCCATTCCTCAAGGGACTTACAGACAAATGTAATCAAACCACTTAGAAGAATTTTACATTGTATCCCCTGCAAATGACATAGAGCTTAGTGCATGGTAAACATTCAATAAATCTTTGTTAAATTGAAATTAAACCATAGGAATGAATGATACATTTGTAACTAAAAACTGTAGCAGCTCTTGGTACCTGAACACATGGGTGTGTGTATCCTTTTTCAGGATATGAGGGCTGGTGGCTGACACCCTCGCCAGGTTACTTTTCAGAGACAGAGACTAGTTAAAAAGTTCAGCTATATTTCTATCTAAACAAACGTCTAATTTATAATTTTACTACAAGATCTCAATAAAGGAAAACCCCCTTTTTCTTTCCTCAGCGATATCAGTGATCTCCTTTGCAACTAAGAGGAGAAAACAAACGAAGTTCTATAGCTCAAGGAGAAAATAACCAATTGTACTGTTTGATGCAACAGGAAATGATTCCCCTGTGAGCGTTAAGAAGCAAGAAGAATGCCAGTCAGAAATGGTCCCCTGTGATCCCGAGGAAGGCTCGGCACCTGGGGAACAGGGCACGGAGACGGATGTCATTGTGTCCAGGCCTCCCTGAAGGTGAAATTCACCTGAGGCACCTGTTCAAGTCCTGAGACACCAGATCTCATCCTGGCAGCAGCTCACATCAGTAGGTCTGTACTAGAGGTGGGCATCTTTGTTTGTTTGTTTTAAACAAGGGATCCAGGTGAATCCTATCCTCAGCAAAGTTGGGGAAGCTCTGGAGTCTGGAAGACTTCTACGGTCCCTTCAGTTAAAGCCCCAGGGGCTCCTGCGTTGCCCGGGTACTTGGAGCCACACTGTGTGAGCCTCTCACGCAAGTTCCTCGGCCAGCAGAGACATACTGATGGCTCAGATCTCCTGTGGTGCCAGCTTTTCAAAATGGTTTCCTCCCACAAGGCATCACCTGAGGTTACAATAAAATCACCCCACTATATTGAATCTTCTCATTTTCTTAAATGCTAAAATGTGATGATTTGGGGGCTTAGTCCCTGAGATGAACCATGCCTGTGGAATCAGGAGCATGCTCTAGGGTGACCTTGGCTACCCAAGGTCATGCCAGGAGCTGCAGGCTGGGTGGCAGAAACATTCCTTCAGTGCATTGACTGGCTCAGAATGAAAGGAGTTTGCCCCCAGTCCCTCAGAGGACCGAGCATCTCCAGCCACCCCCGTGGCCCGGGCCAACCCGCCGGAGACTTGGTACAACTAGCCCCTTTGGAAAGGACACTGGTCCTACATCTCCTAGGACCCGAGGTGGGAAGCAGGGTCTTATAATCAAATTTTGTTTCTAGATGAAATTTTTTTTGTAATTAATAACAAGAATTCAATGCACCCACCAAAAAGTGGAAAATTAACCTGTATAATTTCCTGCGGGGGGGAATTGTGGACCTGCTGTGTGGTGATCTGAGAGAGACCCTGGAACACACAGACTTGTCTGCACCCGTGCCACAGGGCTCAGAAGCCCCACACTATGGGATGTCTGCAACAGACACTGCGACTGGCATTTCCTGACCTCAGGCCTGGGCCCGACCACACGGGGATAGATTGTAAATGTAGGTTCTGATTCTATAGTCCAGAGTGAGGTCTGAGGTTCTGCCTTTCTAAGAACCTCCCAGATGAAACTGTGGATCACACGTTGAGTAGCAATGCCTTGGGGGGATGCTGGAAGAATCAAGACAATCAGCAGAGGCCTGCCAGCGATAAGGGGAGGGAGGAGAACAAGTGAGAAGAAGTCTGGACAAAGCATGAGAAAGGCTGAGAAAAGGAGGAGGAGGAGCGGAGCCAGGAGAGGAGTCTCCGGACGACAGTGCAGGCCTGTGGGAATCACTGTGCCCACCCTCCCCGCTTGCACGATGGGATCACCTGGGAGCTCCAAAAATTAATTAATGTGTCCCACACTCAGAAATTCTGATTTAATCGATCTGAGGTTTGGTCTGGGAATTGGGACTTTCAAAAGCTCCCCAAGTGGTTCTAATGTGCACCGAGGTGGCCATCTGCTTTTCTAGCAGAATGATCTAGGGACCGAGGGGTGTAGGGAGAATGATCTCAGGGGAGCTCTGCGATAAGCCCAGGCCAAGGGAGGTGGAGGCAGAAGGGGAGCTGGTGAGTGGAAGTCTAGTGCAGTCCTTGTTTTATTTGTACCTCTGGGAGGACTCAGTGGGGAGGAATAGAAAAAGCACAGGAGTTTTGGGTAAATGTTATTCTTGGCTCACTCAGCCTTGAGACTGTGTGCCTGAGGAGTGTGGCTCAAGGGCTCACCTGCCCGTCTCTTCGAGCAGAGGGTAGAGGCACCACTGTCTGTGCCATTGGGCCCCAGAGAGCTGATGACAGGCAGCTGCTCTGAGATCCTGTTAGTTTCTGTAAAGGCAGTGGGGGGCACAAGACGACGACCGGGGTGGACATTGGAGGGATCTGGGCTCTGGGCAGCATGGCCACTCAACTTGTAGGAAGCTGAGCTCTCTCTTAACCTCTTGGCAACAGATGGGAATTACAGACTAAAATATCAGCTCCTGGGTATTTACCAGATACTGGTTTAATAAGTCTGGAATGGGACCAGGGCATCAACACTTTAAAAGCTCCCTAGGTAGGTGAGCTTAGGACCTTATTGCACTGAAGACCTTACTGCACTGAGCCCCATGGAGCTGTGTCTCAGGCTCCAGTCCTGCCCACACCTCCTTTGCTGCAGTCTCAAGAGAATGTGCCAGAATGTATAGTTTCCTCTTTCTGGTGTAAGAAATGACCATAAACCTAGTGGCTACCTCATTAGCCTTACAGTTCCAGAGGTCATGTCATGTCTGACGTAGGTCTCTCTGGAAGGGCTGTGTCCCTCTGGAGGCTTTGGGGTAGGGGTCGGGGTGGGTCCATTTCCTCGTCTTCTGTCCTCGAGAGGCTGCTTGCATTCCTTGCACGTGACTCCCTTCCTCCATCTTCAAAGCCAGCAGTTGTCTATCTCTGACCATTCTTCCAGTCAGATATTTCTCTGACTGATAGCAGGGAAAGTTTCTCTGCTTTTAAGGTCTTGTGGGATTAGATTGGGACACTGGATAATCCAGGATAATCTCCCCATCTCAAGGTCCTTAACTTCAATCACATCTACAGAGTCCCTTTTGCCATGTAAGGCAATGCATTCACAGGTTTCAAGGATTCAGAGGTGGGTTAAGTTTGGGAGCCACTCTTCTGCCTACCATGCCTGTCCTGACACTTGTTCTTTCCTCCACTCTGCCTGTCCCCCACACGGTGGCTCAGCCGATCCCCGGGAGGACTCTGGGCATCCTTCCTTCCGGGAGGGAGAGCTGCTGAGTGTCTGACGGCAGCTTCTCCGTCCAGAGCCAAGAGGTCAGTGGAGGACGGATGTGCAGCCCACCCCTGAGCCACTTTCCAAAAACACTGGGCAGCTGTGACAGAACCATGAGCAAAGAAAAGTCTATTTCATTTTGAAATGAAGAAAAAACAACATTTTGCTTTGCTCTATAACTGCTTTCCAAGTCTTGATATTCTAGGGTTGATTACAGACTTCAAAAGAATGTGTGCAATTCTATTCTATTTATCCTGACACTGGAGACTAAAACAAAATCATCTGGAAGGTCAGGGGCACTTAGCACCCATGGCCCCTGGCGGCCGTGAAACTGCAAGCAGCTTGGCTTCATTCATTCTGCGGGCTAGAGTTCACCCAAGAGCTACTTATTCTGCTTGGCCTTTCACTCAGCCTTTCCGTGTCCCCCTTGGTATTAAGTGCGATCACAAGCCTGTTGACTGTGTACTTCACTGTTAGAGCTCCTGCGCCAGATGAGGGCGCAGTCCTTGGCTTTTTGTCTAAGGACAGCATTTCGGTCCTCACCATGGTGGAAAGCCTCAATGATCAGAAGCTTTTTGGGCAGATGAGCAAAGTCTTCTCTTTGAAGTCAATTCTGTTTGCCATTTTAGGAATTAACCCAAGATTTAATATTCGCCCTCTCCCCAGGTCATGCATTTGGCTGTGTGTTCTTGGGAAAGTCACTCAACCTCTCTGAGAGCAGCACTGGCGTCTCCTTGAAGGTCTCATTCTTGATGGGCTGGTCATTTCTTTTAGAGCCTCACTTCCTCTCTATAACACGAGGGGGTAGAAGCAGGAGCTTTCTATAGCCCCAAGGCTCTGTGATTCTGAGAGAGCAGGGCTGATCCCCGTGATGGTAAGGTGGGCATTGAAATCTGGCGAGAATCCATAACACCAGAAGAATCAGATTCCCAACCGGCCATCGGCTCTTCCTGCTTTTCCTTTTCCAGAAACACAGGCCCTCCATCTGCATCCACTCCCTCTTCCTCCCCTTTCCTGCCCATTCCCTTCCCTCCATACACTAAGACCTTTTGGTAAAGAAAGGATTGGAGGGAGCCCTTCAGGGAGGAAGCTGGGCGGCTGAAATCAAAAGCAATTCCAGCTGGGCATGCAGATTTCCCCTTCTGCCTCATCACACCCTTCTTATACCACCCTCCAATTTATTGTGCTCCCCACATTCCACTGAAGGATGCATCACCTCCAAGCAAAACCTCATGTTTCACCCCCCAACAGGAACCAAGGCTGGAAGGAAGGGAGAGGCAGCTCCTGTAGCCTGTCAGCCCAGCATTCATTTATCGGGTGTCTTCCGAGGACAGAGCCAGTCACTGTATCAGAGAACATCAGGCTGGGAGAGCACTAATAGGTCATCCCATCCACCCCCAGCATTTTACGGATGGCAGCGCCCCCATGGAGAGGTGAAAGCATCTGCTTCGGGTCACCCAGCAGAGCTCAGGCCAGAATTCAAGCTACGCTGCCACCAGCTCCTCGTGCTTTCCACTGCACCCTGTGGCTTAAGGAAGGTGCCAATGATAGAGTAGCTTCTATGAGCATAAAGTGAAGGAGAACAGACACCATTTCTCTGAAGTGCTCCAAATTAACAGGACACAGGATGCAGAGAAGACGAATAGCAAGGCCTTTTTAGAAAGGGAAATTGGAAAAGCATGGAGGTAACTCTCTCCTGCAAATGGTGATCGCATTAGGAAAATGTAGGGGAAATGCTCTTCTGGGCAGGGGAGGAGACTTTCCTGAATTGGTTTTCCTTCCTTGCAACCTTGGCTCATTCATCCGCCTTCTCACTGGCACACACACTATTCTCCCGCCGTTTCTCTTTTCCTTGACAAATTTATTACCTTATTTTCATATTATACTATAAACTTTGGTACACACAGCTTTTAAAGAAGCTATTTTTAATGCAAGATGACACACCAAGCTTTGAACCCCCCAATAAAATTGACCGGGGACATCTGGTACTAAAAACGCTTACATTTCCTCCCCAGAGAAGCCTGCTCTCTGTTTGCTATCTTTAAAAAGTAATGTAGGAATGAAAACAGGCTGACATTTTGAAAACAAGGAAAAAACCCCTTATTTTTCTACTTCAAGTTGAAGTCTTCAAGACAGAGCGTTTGACATTGGAAGTTGACATTTGTAGCAATTAGTCATTTTCATCTCTTTGACTCTGACTATATACAAGTGCTGGGTAACTCATCCACTAATTTTTCTTCACAGGAACAGGAGGTAGTACTACATGTGTTATTAGGACTTAATGTTAAAAGTACAAATGTTATACGTTCTTATGAAAATAAAGGGCTTTTGATTATTTCTTTTGACAGTTCAAAGATCAGCACTCTAGGTAGGGCCTTTGATAGAATAGCCTTGGTTAAAATACTGCCCCTGGAGATCCTTGGAAAATTTTGAAGGATCTGATGGCACTCTGATTGTTGTCAGCTATACATGTTTTTACTTTTTGGGAATGCGGGAGGCAAATAAGCTGGGGCTGCGGCTTCTCGGCAAGAAGCACTAAAGGTCTATGTTAGTTTCCGTTGCTAAGGTTAAGGTGAAGATGTGCGGGGAAGGAGGGGTCATATTGCGCCCGAGGGTCCTTTGTGGAAA